GGGGAGGGGGGCCCAGTCAGCTTTCTTCACCCCCTGAGGAAAATATCAGAGGGGAGGGGGGCCCAGTCAGCTTTCTTCATCCCCTCCGCGACTACCTGAGGTAAGGTTTGGCTTATGTAGCACTGAGGCTGGAGTGGGGGGCTCCTCAGAGGAGGAGGCGTTACAATGGAGGCAAACACATTGCAGAAATGCACTTTTTCTTGAGCGTGTTAGTTTTCAGACAGAAAGTTCGCCTGCTTGAAACTCCAGGATCTTTACCTCTGGTGGGCGCGACTGGCGTGTGAGGAAGGCAAGGCCTTGCAGACCAGATATGTCAGGCGGGCACAGCCCCTCTGGCCACACCCCTCCACCTTCTTCTGCGTGCCCAGTTCTCTGTCCTGGAACCCCCAGTGTGCCCCTCAGTCCTCACCCAGCCTCGCGGCCCCTCTCTGAGCTGGAGGTGGCCGCCGTCTGAGCGCCAGTCTCGGGCGCTTGCTCCCTGTCTTCTCTCTGAGGTGCTGCGTCTGCACACCTCTCTGAGCCGCACCCCTCCACCCCCCAGAATCAGCGCCGCCGCCATGCAGCTGTGTCTCCTCCTCTGCCTGGTGCTGCTCAGCCCGCAGGCGGCTGCCCTGCGCCGCCACCACTCTGGGGTGATGAAGAAGAGGTCGAAGGAGCCGCTGCCAGCCACCACCTCGGCGCCCGCGGAGAACGACTTTGTCTTCGACCTCTACAGGGCCATTGCTGCCGCTAATCCCAGCCAGAACATCTTCTTCTCCCCTCTGAGCATCTCCACGACGCTGGCCATGGTCTCCTTGGGCACCGGCTCCAGCAGCAGGCAGCAGATTCTGGAGGCCCTGGGCATCTCCTCTCAGGAGGACTGGGAAGAGGCCCAGCTCCACACCACCTACCAGACGTTGCTGCAGGAGCTCAGCCAGCCCAGAGACAGCCTGCAGCTGAAACTGGGCAACGTCCTGTTCATCAGCCCCCAGGTGAACATCTACGAGACCTTCCTGAATGCCGTGAAAACCCTATACCTCGCAGACACTTTCCCCACAAACTTTAGGGATCCCGTGAAGGCACAGAAGATGATCAATGATTACGTGGCAAAGGAAACGAAAGACAATGTTGTGGACTTGATTTCAAGCCTGGACAGCACAGAGGTCATGGTGATGGTGAATTACATTTTCTTCAAAGGTAAGGCTGGAGGCTGGCCCCGAAATGCCCTCTCTCTCCTCAGCTGCTTTTATTAAAAAGAAAACAAAAAATCCTGCACAAGAAAGGGTGAGGAGTTAGGAGTAGATTTAGCTGCCCGGAGCAGCCAGGGCAGACAGAGCCCTGACCGTGCTGTGGACACCGAGGGCCCGGGACTGGCCCTGCAGGGGGCAGCGGGGCCCTCGTCGGGGTCAGGCTCCTACACGCACCCTAGCGTCCCACTCGGGGCAGGACTCTGGGTCTCGGGAGTCCAGCGTGGGGCTGGGCCTCACCCAGTCAGCCGGCCTCGGTGGCCAGCTCCTCCCCTGTGCCCTCCTGGGGGTGACTAGCCAGCGGAGAAGCACGGGACAGGCACCTGGTGTCTTCTCGTTCCTCTGCAAGGAGAGCTGACTGGCTGATGTTCACCTTGCTGGCATGTTTTGTAAACATCCCTACTCACCTCAGCTCCTGTCTGCTTCTGCTTCTAGATGTTGGACTTTCGGGCCCTGCCTGAGGGCCCCCATGAGGCTGGGAAGCACAGGGGAGGGGAGAGAGCAGAGAGAAGGAGGGAGGGGAGGGAGGAGAGGGGATGTGGAAGGAGGGAAAGGGGGGAGGGAGGGGGTAAGAGAGGGGGAGAGAAGCGATGGCAGATGGGGGAGTAGGAAGAGGGAGAGGGAGAAGGGGAGGGGAAAGGAGGGAAGGAAATGGGAGGGAAGAGGAGGGGAGGAGAGGAAGGGGAGGGGAGAGGAGGGAAGGAAATGAGGGGAGGGGAGGAGAGAGGAGAGGAGGAGAAGAAGGGGAGGGGAGAAGAGGGA